TCACTTGAACTCTCAGCAGCCTTCAAGACAGATCTCACTCTCTCTTTTTTAAAGCAATAGCTAATGGGTTTTTGCTTCATAATCCACCATCCTAAAACTCTGTGGCTTAAAATAATTTATGATTTCTCTTGAGTCTATGGGTCCTCTAGGTGGTTTATATGGTCTTCACTTTCTCACTCACATTTTTATGGGCTGGTGCAGGCAATGGGACTCTGTTGATCTAGGCTGGATTCTTAACATGTTGAGGATTGACAGATTTTAGGGTGGCCTCATCTGGATATTTCAAAATTGGCAGGTTTTCATACTCTGGCCAACTCTATTCTACTAGTTCTCATCTAGAAAGTAACAGTGCTGAATTATTGGTGGCAGTTCTTCACCTTGTGTGTGTTTGTGTGCTAATATAGAGTGAAAAAATCAGAAAATTTTTATTCTTTTACATTTCTGTACATTACATTGCTTTGTTTTCAGGCACAATGGAAATGAATAAGAAGTTGATGGAGTCATTTTTCATTTTGTAGTTTCTGATTGTGTCAAGGATCAAAACAAGGACAGAGGAGGATTAAACACATCCTTACTTTACTCCATTTCTGTGTGAAAACCTGTATGAGCAGGAAAATTATTTTAGGATAAGCACATGTGCAAAAAAAGTCAACAGTTTTAGTGACTGAGAAAGCTGTCATAGATAAGTGAGGTGTCTCTGAAATACGTAAAATATTTTTCATATGTAAATAAAGTAAAACTTCACAGCTCAGCCATCTGTGAGAGTGTGAGAGCTCTTGAAAAATGACTCATTCAGTTAGGCAAAGATATGAAACCATATCTGAATGCAGAACTATGTGAGCTACAGAGAATCTAGAATGCTGAAGATCAGCACAAACTCTTGCCAAAATAGTGTGTTGAGTTTTTCCATCTTTTTTGGTTTGTGGGCTGGTCTAATAATCGAATTAACATAGGACAGATTAATGGAAGGAAGACAAATTCAATTACACACACATAGGAGACCTGTAAGAATATGAAACCCAGGGACAGTGGGACAATTGAAGCTTAAATGACATCTTTTTTTTTTTTTTTTTCACATGGTGTGTGGAGCCCAGTGCAGGGCTTGAACTGTTCATGACCTTGAGATCAAGACCTGAGCTGAGATCAAGAGGCGTGCACTTACCTAATTGAGCTACCCAGGCACCCTTTATATGCCATCTTGAACTAAGGAATGAGATAAGGACCAGGGACTGCAAAAGGAAGGCTGGTGAGTTACAGGATAATAAAAAGCAGATATTTGGTAATTAGATTTTGTCCTGCCATATAGATAGTTTATTCAGATACAGAAGTTATCTCTTGGTAAAACTCTCTTTCTGAACTAGGCCCCCTACCCAAATTGTTTTAGGTAGCTTAAGGGAGAGGTAAAAGTTTTTCTCGAGCCTGCTGGGTCTTGATTGCCCTCAGCTGGAAATAGTCCACATGCGAAAGTGGCATGCTTTGGGGAGATGTTCTGAAATGCTTTAAGTGTTTAGAATAAATGTGGGGCCATTAAAAAAATTAACAAATACTACAGAAGTGCATGAGAAAAACACAAGTTGTGAATACTGATTTTTACAAATGGTCTGATGTAACATGCAGAACTGAATATTAAAGGGCCTGAAGAGATCATTTAGTTGAAGGCCATCTTGCCTATTAAAACATTAAAAGGAATCTGAGACTCAGAGAGATTGAAAAGGTTGCCAATGGGACATAGAAAATGTGGGGCACAGCCTAGAGCAGACACACAGGATATTGGCCCCCAGTCTTCATCACTCTCTTTTGGCCTTGGTAGCCACTTTACTGTTGAGAAAAATCCCATACTGATTTTAGTGTATTTCTATTACATTTAAGCCTAAAAAAATCATCCTATCTCCTGTGTAGGCTGAGTAATGTGTTCCAGATATATATTCAAGCTTTTCCTACCCAGAAGTTGATATCTTGATGGTTTTCATGAGATAAGATATTTAAGACATTTATTTATGAGATAAGATATTTAAGGCAAATCACAAGGCTGTGTTTCTTAGAATTATCTTTTCACATGATAATTTTTCAAAAGTGCAGTTTTGCTCAGTGTTTTACATATCTCAGCTCTGCAAGAGTAATAGAATTCTCTAAATCTGTGTTGAAATGGATATCCTTCATGGCTGTCCTTATTTTATTTTATTATCTTATCATTTTTTTTCACTGTGTGCACCAGAAAACATTTATTTTCCCCGATATCGTCACAAACTTAATTTAGTGAGTTATTTCTTTGTTAAATTCCAAGTGACCGAGATAGTCATTCTTTTAGTGTAGGTCACTTGGCAACAAATTCTTTTAGTTTTCCTTCATTTTAGGTGGTCTTGATTTCTGCTTTGTATATATATTTTTCAAATATTTATTTAAATTATTTATTTATTTATTTATTTATTTATTTATTTATTTTCAGCATAACGGTATTCATTGTTTTTGCACCACACCCAGTGCTCCATGCAATCCGTGCCCTCTCCAACACCCATTAGTTAATGTACAATGTGATCCTGGTTTCTGGAGTAGATTTTAGTGATTCATCACTTACTTGTAATACCCAGTGCTGCTCAACCCAGCAAGTGCCCTCCTTAACACCCATCAACCATTTAGCACATTCCCATCTACCTCCCCTCCATCAACCCTGTTGGTTCCTACAATAGAGAGTCTCTTATGGTTTACATCCCCCTCTCTCTTTTTTCCCCTTCCCTTATATTCACTGGTTTTGTTTCTTAAATTCCACACATGAGCGAAATCATATGGTATTTGTCTTTCCCTAACTGCCTTATTTCACTTAGCATAATACACTCTAGCTCCATCCATGTCATTGCAAGTGGCAAGACTTCATTCTTTTTGATAGCTGAGCAATATTCCACTATATGGGTGTGTGTGGGTGTGTGCGTGTGTGTTTACACCACCTCTTCTTAACTATTCATCAGTTGATGGACATTTGGGTTCATTTCATAAATTGGCTATTGTTGACAATGCTGCAATAAATATCAGAGTACATGTACCCTTTTGAATCAGTATTTTTGTCCTCATTTTAGGGAAGCAATTTTACTTGATGCATTACAGCTTCCCCTCCTTCCTCCAAATTAAAGGACATTGTTCTTATGAAAGGTTGATACCTTTCTGGTCATTAATTGGGGAATCAGTTTTTTGTTTTTTGTTTTTCTGACAAATAGAGAAATCGATCAGAAACTAACCTGTTTGGTTTTCCTTGCTCAAAAAGTTGGGGAAAAGAATGAAATTAAATTTTTCTCCCATTTGCTTCATGTCAATATAAAATTGAATATTTCTCATATTTAAAACTATGTAGTGAAGTTTTAATTTTGTCTGGAGAGGGAAACCTAAATCTAATTTAGAGTAATCTAAAACCATGACCAGTTAGAATAATTTCAGTTTATATTTGGAATTGAATATATGAAAATTATACCAATTACGTTTTGTTTAGACTAGAATTAAAATTTGTCTGCATACAGTATTGGAAAATCAGAGTCCTCAGGATTCTTAAAGATGTAAACATAAAAACTTTTCAGGGAGATAGCATGGTAAGTAACAAAGTGGGGACGTTGGAGTCATTGGCCAGACAGGAAGTCTTCTGTCACTGTTACTCAAGCAACTCTAAGAAATTCTTTAATTTTTATTTCCCTTTTTGTACAACAGGGATGCTGACACTACCCACCACAATGGGATCAAGATAACTATACATGGTACCTCAAGTTCCTGGTACTTAACAAGAATTAAGCTATTGATGTTTAGATGGTTGTCTGTATCAGTACAGGGGGCTGATATAACCAAGTGTCACACAGACTGGATGGCTTATAAATAATAGAAAATTTATTTTTCTTAGTTCTAGAGGCTGGAAGTCTGAAAGCAGGGTGCCAGAATGTTCAGGTTCTGGTAAGAACCTTCTTCCAGGGTGCAGACTTCCAGCTTCTCCTATCCTCACATGACAGAGAGTGAGTGAACTGACTCTCTGGCTTCTTCTTACAGGGGCACTAATTCCAGTCATGAGGGCTCCACCCTCATGACTTAATTACCTGCCAAAAGGCCCACCTCCAATTACCATGACCCTGGGGATAGATTTCAACATATAAACTTTGGGGGAACACAAATATTCAATTCATATCATATAACAATAACACCTCCTGGGACCATTTTTGTTTGTTTGTTTGTTCTTTAAACCTAAACATCTATGCGAGCAGCTCATTTAAGTATCTTTTTTTTTTCTCTTTTAAAGAATAGTTGAAAGAGAAGAATATCTGATAGGCAGAAAGGATGTTTACACAACCAACCCATTTCTCTTTATCATCTCTCTCTCTCTCTCTCTCTCTACCTATCATCTATTATCTCTCATTTCTCTTATCTATGATATTCTTAATATTCTTTGAACTAGTGGTAACATCTTACTGGTTTCCTCATTGATTAATGACTTAAATAAAATCTTTGACATCTGTTCATTTTATACCTGCATGAGATATAAATCTTCCTTTAAAAATGATCTTCTAACAACTACAACAAAGAAAAAATTTTGTAAATTGTTAAAAAGAAGCACTTTTTAAAAGCCACATATCCACTAAAAAGTGGTCAGGTTCATGTTTTCCTGCCAAGTGTCAAAAAATATGTTACTTTGCATGTTTGATTTACTCCACATTGAATGACAAGTCATGACTGTTAGCAAGAAAGATGTAACAACTTTTGGTTGTTTGTTTTTAAATTCAGTGCTGTTTTGTGAATTATGTCACACTGAAATCTGTAGATACCTAGTAAATATGAGATTTACATTTCAAGTTTCCTAATAAGCATTAATCTTATTAATTAACTTATTTAATTAATAAGCTTTATAATATATAATCCATTCTATTTTAACATATATATTATATATTATATAGGGATTATAATAATCCATTATATTATAATATATGGATTATAAAATATAACCCATTATTAAGCTTAATAACCATAAGCAACCAGGTGGCATGCATATAGCTTTTATTGAACAGTAGGGTGCCCATTTAGTTGGTGGCTCTGTAGTTTACATGGATTTCTGGCTTCACATCACAAACAGTGTTCAAAAGCTGCTTCAACACACTTTCCATGCATTTGTTGTAGCTTCCATTCAGTTCTTTTATCTTCCCTTGTGTTTGCTCTTCTACTTCTTCTGAGAGATTACTTTGAGAGCCCATTATCTGACAAAATAAAACAGAGAGAATTCACCACACTATGTATCATTTTAAAGTGTAATTGTTTTACTAGTTAAACTTGTTTTGGGTTATTTATTAATGCTTGGTCTATGGTGTACATCTTACATGTTATTTTTCCAGAACTTTCTCAGAGAATGGATACAACCACCACTACCATGAGTGAGACGGATAAACATTCCTAAAGAATGAAAAGCCATGGTCAGTTACTTCTGTTTTGAGGTTGGTCTCCACACAGTACAAATTGAAGGCACATTCACAATCGTTATAACACACTCAGAAGTTTTTTCATGTATTACATTTTTCACATATTTATAATATGTTCAATCCAGTTCCTGTATCTTCCCCGTGGTTTACTTTTCTGAATTAAAAATCTTGAAAATAAAGTTGAAAGACATGATTTCACCCATTCTGCTGATTTTTAAAGAGCAAATAACTGGTTTGCCAATTTTTAAAATATACACTGATTGTTGTTTTTCAGCAAGATATAGCTACAACATGCCCAGTACAATACTTTGGCATGTATAGTTATCTCTTTTTGGGTAACAGATACAATTTTGAAAATTTTAATATAAATTGAATTTCAACTTAAGATATACATGTCCAGGGGCACCTGGGTGGCTCAGTTGGTTAAGCCGCTGCCTTCGGCTAAGGTCATGATCCCACCAGGGTCGTGGGATCGAGTCCCGTATTGGGTTCCTTGCTCAGTGGGGAGACTGCTTCTCTCTCTGCCTCTGCCTGCCTCTCTGCCTGCTTGTGCTCTCTCTTTCTGATAAATAAATAAATAAAATCTAAAAAAAAAAAAAGATATACGTGTCCATTTAGTTACATTATATTTTTAGATGCACTTTAATAAATCTTTCTGGTTGCTCTCATTGGCAGGGTTTCCCAGTATTTCCCATTATCTCCAAGAGATTTGAACCAAATAAAATTTCACCAGGGGAATTGCTAATTTAAAGGGATTCTGCAGTGAAACCCTTTGTAAAGTTATCCTTTGCTAAGTAAAGAGTCAACTCCTAATTTATCTCCTTTGTAAATCAGCCTTTCTTAAACAGTATTGTTAAGGTGACACAGCTGGTTTTTGTTTGTTTTTCTCTTCTGTGAGTGTTTACACACAAAGAAGGTATGCATTTAGTTCAATCCAAGGGACTACGCTAATGATTGACTCGTAAGACTATTTTAAATTCTAGGATTTGAATTATCTTTCTAGGTCCTACACTTGAAATCAAATGCAACTGAGGCCATCAGTTTCAAGTTCTTTTCTGTTTATACTCCATGCAATAAGGGCTTCCCAGTTCAAAGAAAATCACTTAAGGAAAACTAGCTTCTAAGACATCAAATAACTTTTATAAAATAACATTTTGATAAGTGAGAATACAAGAAGCAGAGACATATGGACTGAATTTCCCTTGCTAGGAAGAAGTCTAAAAATGGAGGAGAACTACTTACCAAAATTATTTTACCAAAATCTATTTTTCCCTCTAAACCCACTATCTTACGTGAGAGTCTACCAAACTCAAAAAAAAGGTCTTAAATCCAACTTCTTTAGTGTTGAAAAATGTGTAAGACAAACTATTATAAAATTATTATCTATTTTTTTGGAACAGTGTTAAAAACAGCTATTATTAGGTTAGATCAGTGAACTATTCTGTAGGCCCTTGAAAAAGTTCATTTCAATTTAGGTTCTTTATTTCAGCATTGTCCAATAGAAACGTAACACAACTCACAAAGCAAGCCATATATGTAAATTTTTTAAAAAGATTTTATTTATTTATTTGAGAGAGAGAGTGCAAAAGTGGGGGGAGGAACAGAAGGAGAGAGAGAAGCTCAAGCAGACTCCCTGCTGAGTAGGGAGTCCACAGTGGGGCTCCATCTCATGACCCTGAGATCATGGCCTGAGCCACAATCAAGTCAGTCACTTAACCAACTGAGTCACCCAGGTGTCCCAACAAGCCATAGAAGTAATTTTAAATTTTACAGAGTCACATTAAAAAGATGACTTTTTAATTTTAATTAAAAATTTAATTTAACTGGGGCACCTGGGTGGCTCAGTGGGCTAAGCCTCTGCCTTCGGCTCAGGTCATGATCCCAGGGTCCTGGGATCGAGCCTCGCATCAGGCTTTTTGCTCAGCAGGGAGCCTGCTTCCCTTCCTCTCTCTCTGCCTGCCTCTCTGCCTACTTGTGATCTCTGTCAAATAAATAAATAAAATCTTTAAAAAAATTTTTAATTTAACTTAAAAAAGACAAAATTGATTTTAATGACATATTTTATTTAACCTAATGTATTCTTTATATTATTATTTTGATGTACAATCAGTATAAAATTATTGCATTGTTGTTTTTCATACTAAGTTTTGTAATCTGGTATATATTTTATACTTACAGAACATCTTAATGGGGACTCGCTAAATTTTTTAAAAATTTAATTTTATTTTATTTAAATTCAATTAATTAACATACAGTGTATTATTAGTTTCAGAGGTAGAGTTCAGTGATTCTTCAGTTGTATATAACACCCAGTGCTCATTACATCACATGCCCTCCTTAATGCCCATCACCCAGTTATACCGCCCAACTCTTCCACGCATGGACTAGCTACATTATGAGTGTTTTTTAGCTATAGGTGAAGTGGCCACCATTTTTGACAGTACGAGTCTAACACACAGATGGTAGCTACTACTATTAGTTGTATTCTTCATGTGCTTTTCTAAGACAATACGATGACTTTCTGAAAGGATTATAGTATAGATGTTACATAGCAAGAAGCTTAGCCCTGAGCAACTAATCAGTAAATGTCGGTGATTTTTATGAATTGTCACTGATTATGTTCCTTGTGCTTTTTAATCCATTTTATACTTTTGGAAACATTGGAATGCCTTTAAAAAGTAGCCCATAGTCCATGCCTCATCCTGAATAGTTAAATATAATATAATTTTGAGTTTATTTGATGTGCAGTAATTTGAATTTCTATAGTTCTATATTGACTTGTTCTACCAGTAACCAACCATATACTGTTTTATTATTTTTTTTACTTTATTTTAAATTTTAATTCCAGTATAGTTAATATAAGTTAACTACAGTTCTATTAGTTTCAGGTGTACAATACAGTGATTCAACAATTCTATATATTACTCAGTGCTCATTAAGATAAATGTACACTTAACACCCTTCACCCACCCACCTCTCCTCTGGTACCATATACTATTTTATTTATTATTTTTTTTATTTTTATTTTTTTAAAGGACTCTTTTTTAAATTTTATTTATTTATTTGACAGAGATCACAGGTAGGCAGAGAGGCAGGCAGAGAGAGAGGAGGAAGCAGGCTCCCCGGGGAGCAGAGAGCCCGATGCGGGACTCGATCCCAGGACCCTGGGATCATGACCTGAGCCGAAGGCAGAGGCTTTAACCCACTGAGCCACCCAGGCGCCCCCATATACTATTTTAAATGGCCTTCCTCAGGAAGAATTCCATACCTTTATATATGCAGACAGTGTGGATTTAAGTCATCCAGGAGAGTAAAGGAATGAATATAAGCTCCACAAAAGATCAATTGCCTTGTCCACTGATGTATTGTAAGTGTCTCTAACACTGCTTAGAGCATAGTAGATGCTCAGTGCATATTTGTTGAACTGAATAGAATGATCAGAGAACGTATTACAGAGAACACATTACAGAGAACTTACTACCTGCACTCTGCTGCTCTTGTTGGCAGAAGTTTGCTATCTGAATGTTTGGCACACTATATAAATTAAAAGTTGATAATTGTGTGACATGTGGTGGTACACTTCATCAAAGGACTCCCTTTAAGGACTTCTTCCTGTTAATTTTCAAAACTTCAATATTGAGATTGATGCTTATTAGATTTACAGCTAAATGATGGTGTTTGTGAAATCTTTCAACATTCAGTAAGTTTCTTTACAAAATTTTCAAATGTTCCTGTTTGAGAGAAAACAGAGAGGTGTGCTTGGGTGACTCAGCTGGTCAAACATCTGACTCTTGGTTTCAGCTCAGGTCATGATCTTGTGAGTTGTTGGATTGAGCCCCTGCGTCGTTCTCTGGACTCTGTGGAGAGTCTGATTGGAGATTCTTTCCTTCTTCCCCTCACCCCCCTCACACACTCACTCTCTCTCTCAAATAGAATAAATAAAACTTTTTTTTCTTTTTTAAGGAGAAAGCAGAGGTTTTTGGGTCCCACTATTATAAGCAAAACACAGTTTTGCATTCTCAATCTACGGTTATTTGAAGAAAACAAAATGTTTTGTATTCTCAATCTACAGTTGTTTTAAGAAAACAAAATGAATTCAGGAGGAAAGATGAAAGATACAAAAGTCTTCAATATGCCCCAGGAAACTGTTTTCATGTTTTCTGGTTAGATTCATGGGCCATCTAACTTCTACTTGCGTTAATAAGAGATTTCATGTTTCCACTGTAGTCCAGATTTCCTTTTAGCCACGTAATATCTTCTTTTGGAGAAGAAATTATATCCGGTATCAATGACAAACAAGGGATAAATAAATCTTTAATAAAATAATATTTGTTGATAAGCAACCCACACTGGGATACCTCTTTCTGTTGATACATCAGGGGAATTGAAACAACACATACATCAACAAGAGCTAAAAGACGCAACTAAAAAAAGTGACATCGAGGTGTCTCACCCACAGCAGGCAGGAAACTGGCTTCTTGGGTCTCCTCCCAGACCTCCTACTTGCCCTGGGTTAATGATGATGAGATTTAACTGGAATAGCAATATGTCTGACATATGGAGGTCATGCCAAGGAACGACTATCTTGTGCTAATGGTTTTACAATATGCTTGAAGTAGCGGAGGCCTAAACCTGTTAACCTTTCTATGTGAGCTTTTGATCAACTAGCTGGAAAATTGGCTTCGAGCTCTAATTATGACAGCAATGAGGAGTTTTAATTATTTTCCAAAGCAGAGAACAAATATCCTGAACCAGATTTACATCTTATGAGATCTTTCTGGAGATATAATATTTCAAGAGATTTAACCCAACTACTTTCTAAAATTACAGTCAGTCTTGTGATTACTTAAAAATAGAAATAAGTACATCAGAAATATTCTGCCTGGAATAATAAATGCTGGTTGGCATTAAGGATGACTATTATCTCAGGTCCCAACATGTCATGGGTCATGATAGGACTCAACAGGAAAGATAAAGGCACAGAAGAAATATTCTCCCAGTGAATATTTATTGTGTGCTTACTATGGAGCAGACGCTATTTTATCACTGGGGAAGGTAACAGAGAGCGTAACATAGAACCTGCCATTTTGGTGTTATAGTTCAGAAGAAAAGATAGGCAATAAAAAATGTGAATTTACAATGTATCTAGTAATGATACCTAATATGACTATAATGGGGAATTTCTTTTTTGAATGAGAGACACAATTTTAAATAAGGTGATTAGAAAGAGGAGTTAACAAATGAACAGAGATCAAAGAAGGATGAAAATGTCTGAAAGAAGATGATTCCAGGGAGGAAATAAATCATGTGTAAAGGTGCCATTGGCGGTGGCGCGTTCAGTCTGGGGAAGAACGGGAAGGCAGATATGGCTAAAATTGAACAGAGACAAAGGTAATAGAAAATGTTACAAATGACCCTAGTAGATATTATTGCACCCTGCTTGCTGGAAAATGTTCTCCTATTTCCTTATGATTTCTTTTTCAATTGACTGGCTTCTTTCAATAAATTTTTCAAAAAACATAAAGAAATGCTTTTCCCTACACTATCATTTAAAAAATATCTGTGGTTCACAGTAAAATGTAAGTGCATGACATTTTCAGAACTGACAAGTTAGAGAGACAGCCAAGGGCCAATTACGGAGGTTTGTATACACATGTATAGACTTCGGATTTTATGATGCCTTTTTAAAAATATTGATAAGAAGAACTTATTTTAGCTGATAGTCCACTTTACTCTAGGAAGGAATTTTTATGTTAAAGAGCCCACTGGTGGCACCTGGGTGGCTCCAGTGGTTAAGCTTCTGCTTTTGGCTCAGGTCATGATCCCAGGGTCCTGGGATAGAGACCCAAATGGGCTCCCTGCTCAGCAGGGTGTTGGCTTCTCCCTCTCTCTCTGCCCCTCCCGTGCTCATGCTCTCTCTCTCTCTCTCTCTATGTCAAATAAATAAATGAAATCTCCCCCCCTCAAAAAAATATTGAGAAAAAAGAAAAAAGAAAGAGGTCACTGGAAAAGTTTTTCCTACCATGAGATTCAATTTACCTGATCCTCTATGAGTCTCACATCCACTCCCACTAAAATAAAAGTTGTAAATAAGGGGATTTCCAAAGTGCTTGTAGTTCATCTTGCAGTGTCAGCCTTTATTTATGTTCCTACTAAAGAAAAAAAAAAAAAACCCGTACCATATAAACTTTAGTTTGTAACACATGGAATTTAATAATTTTTTTTTACTCCCTGTTGCAACACAGAAGGAAGGATGTTGGTTCTGAAAATATCGTGTGCTTATTTATTTATTTTTTACTGTAAACTGTAGATATTTGGAAAATGTTAGTGGAGGAAAAACCCTTTTAGAAATATTTTCATGAAAGATTTGTTGAATGAAGCCAGACTGTTAAAGAGGAAATTAAAAAAAAAAAAATACCAGGAGACTTTTCAGCAATATGCAACAGTATCTACTTTGGTTATTTGTAAATCTTGAATTCACCAAAGTAGATGTGGCTTAACAAACTTATTCTGTAACGATGTACAACTCTTTTTATTGATTGTAGTGGTGAATGTTGATAGACAAAAAAATACGTTTTGTGAAGTGTTTTTCTTAATAAAATATGTTAGTCAATAATCTGTGGTAGAAATAATACTCAACCAGGCCCTTCAATTTGAATATTTGAAATACAGTTTTTAATGGGCAGCATATAATAGATATTAACTATTGATTGACACTTTCTATGTTAAATCAAAAAGCCTTGAAAGTGAAAACGTAAAATCAGTAATTCTAGAATGTGTAAGATTTAGTTTGATGTTCAAGCTAGTTGAACTTCCAGTGTATTTCCCCCCTTGATATTCTGAATTATACCTTTTGAATATTAATATATTATAATCTGTGCCGCATTAAAAAGAAGCTGTGTTTACTTTCTTGTTTACCTTAGATTGTTTCAGTCTGAACTCCTTATCTCTCTGCATTCTGTACTGGTCAATTTCTGCCATAGCTTCTTCTTTAGCTTGCTTCAGTCGCTTCTCTTTTCCTGAATATGGACAATGGCATAGAAGGAATGGTTTTTTTTGTTTTGTTTTGTTTTTTAAATAGACATGGAATTTCAAACTTGATTTCTAAGAAGAAAAAAATCAGTGAAGTCTACCTTATTTTCTTGATATATTTTCCTAAAACTGGAAAACTTCATTGAAAAACAATATTGAAAAATACCTTGTTTTTTCCGATTGGATTTTCCAGAATATGGAAATGACTTTCTTTCTTTCTTTCACACTTATGTGTTTAAATAAAATATCTGCCCATTTACTCACAGCAGTAACAGCCAGAGAACAGATTTTAGCTGTCAGCTATTCGGAAAGACATTATTTGGTCAGATTTTCTGTCCTGATTTGTTGCCAGGAATCCTTCAGTCCCCACCAACTGGATCCTATTTAGCACTGGCAGATCTCCAAAAGCACTACAGACATGCAACTCAGACTCTATCAAACTGACTTACAATTTTTTAAAGCATTTTATTGAGATTTTTTTTTTCTTAGCATTTGTTGACTCTAGAATGTTTGATTAAGCCCCACAGCACATCAAAGTGGGTATTTTTTTTTTTTTTTGTAGAAGCTTTCTCTGAGGGGGACTTGAAAGTGGCCGTAAAACCAATTGTTTTTAATGGTTAGGAGATTTAGTTAAATAGCTCTCTTTTCTTTTATTAAGAGCAAAGGTGTAAGCCTTAAGCCAGCAGACAGCAATGTAGATGAAAGTTTCAGACAAACACAATGCTGTGGGGATCATTAACTAAGCACATGACTTTTTTTGACAACCAGAGTAAATTTGGGGGCTTACAGGCTAATATTAATTGTTACTATGCCCCCAGCACCCACCACCTTCAGGGGGTTAGGTCTTAATGCTTTGTGATCATTAAAACTTTAAAGAAACTCCGAACTGTATTAACATTTTTTTATCTGAATCTCTTGTCTTCTAATTTCACTTAAATGCCTCCATTCTTTTGCTTATTTAACATTCTCTGATAATGTCTCAAGCTTTTGTTTATAATTTTTGTCAACTATTATTTTGTGTAGACTTTGAACTAAATAAGTGTTCTCATTAAGTAGCAGAAAAGAAAATCTTAACATAAACTTCTGTCATCCACATACATGTTTTTATATGACTTTATTTTTATACATCTTTGTAACATTTGAGTGTAAATGGTTTCTAAATTTCTCTCCCTGCTAAGCATGAGTTGCTTTGCTAGTTGCTGTCTATATATTCCATTTATTCTATGAAGATAGATTCACTGAGTTATAAATTGACATGGGTCTCTTTTAATGCCTCTTGTCCTTGAATAGAACCGAGTAAACCTCATTCAGATCAGATAGTTAGCTTTGCCTTTACTCCATAAAAAATCCAAGGTATGGTGAAAATTAGTGCTCTTCTGATGTTTGAGGCTTAATGGAACATTAACAGCAATGCTTACCTTTTTCCTACTGAATGAATGCTCATTATCATTTTATATATACAAATGCCTTCATTCTCCACGTTTCTAACCATTCTGTGGCAACCAAGCACGTACTATTCACAGAACAAATACACAATATGTTGGGAGAGGAAACTCTTCCTCGATCCCCAGTTCTCTTTCTTATCACTGCTTGTCATTAACATTAGGACAGAAATATACGTAAGGTGTATTAACATTTTCTTAGTAATAATGGGTTGGAAGATACATAATCACTTTATAAATTACATGAGACATCACTACTCTCCATGTTAATTACATAAAATGTAAAAATATTGGTTTCAAAATCACAACTCTAGTACATTAAAATAGTAATAATAATGATAATAATAATAGGAAAATTCTGTGTGTGCGCCTTCCCTGAGCAGAATCCAGTGTCCCACTTAGAAGGCTGTATATTAGCTCCATCACACAGTGACATGCTCAGAGTGTGTCTGTGATTCCCCCGTCATGGCACCAGTCACCTGCTGGTTCTCATTCAATTAAATAGGAGATCCACAGGGAAATCGCTGCTGGCACAGCCATTTTCTGGACAGACTCAGCAGCTGCCGCTGTGTGAGAGCCTGCATATGCTACACCTGATTTAACCCAGTGGAAGAAACTGGAGCCTAAAGCCTGCTGTTTCACTCGAGGTGAAGCAAAATGCATGCATCAAATCAACTCTTATCAACCTCTGGGTTGCTTCTCTGTCTCGGTATAAAGATTTCCAAATTTTAATATTATACCTCTTTCTTCTTAAGCATTAAATATATGGCTGCTGTGACTCAAGTGGCATTCAGGTTTATATTCTTATTTCTTAATACTTTCTGTACCAAACATAGGGGTGACCCTATGGGACAGCCCAGATTTTAAATAGGACAATCAAATGTTTGGTCCCAAAATTCCTACAAGGTCATATGTGCTTATGAGACCAAATGGTCTAATGTTTGGTTTAGAAAATGTGATTACCTTATGCATGATGACTTTAAATACAACTAAAGCAGATTTTAAATACTACTAAGCTCCAGAGTGGTCCAGGAAGGGATGGTTTTGATTTGTCCATCCATTATTCACTCAATGTTTATCAAACGCCTACTATATGTTTTGCATACAGCTATACAGAGTGTAGAGAAATGCATATGATATGATCCTTGCCTCCAGCTGGCATAAATACAGTGTAATTTGGAAATATGTGCATGATACACCGGCATCCAAGAGGAAAATATAAAATACATAAAATTGTGAAGAATACATATAATAAATTATGAAAAATGGAACGTATATTTTGATTCTGTTTCTTCCATGGCAGTTAAAAACCCTCAAATTTATGGAAGTTAGTATACTTAAGTTCTAGACAATTTGTGCTTGCCATTCACCCCAATAGTCATGTTATGTCTTATGTTATTAAAGTAAGTCAAAAATACAAACAACAGAACACAGATACGTAGAGTGTGGGTCAGAGCAGGCTGCCAAGGGACATCGGGGAAGAACTTCTGAGGAAGGAATGATTGAGCTGAATGGGAAAAAAAAAAAAAAAAAGAACAAGGCACAGTGACCCTTTCTAAGATACTTTTGGACATTCTTTGTAAACACTGCACCTTAATAACCCCATTCATTTCTAAACATGCGGCTTGTCATGCAAATATGTCTTACATTCAACATGCCCTTATTGAGATATTTTACAGGAAATTTTGTGGGAAGGAAAGAGAGGGAAAGATCTTTGAGGTCCAGGGGATTTGTGGGAAAAGAATGAAAAAATCTATTTGGGCAGATTAAAACTCAGCTGTATGTGGGAGTGTGGTGGGCAGTAAATGCTCAGGTATGGACTCTTCCTGGGTTTGTGGCCAAGTGAATTGAGTATCCCAATTACAATGAGCTTTTGAGACACAGAAAACCCTGTTCTGTTGACTGGATGGTTAAATTGATTCTGGAATGGTTTTGTGATGAGGAAGATGAGATTTCATTTATCATTTCAGAAGAGAACTGAAATTATACACTAAGCACAACTAAAATAAGATATTAAAAGCCTTGCAAACTTGAGCAAGTTCGTGTGTCTGAGCCTGAGTTTTCTCATCTATAAAACAGATTTAACAATCTACTGGAATGAATCATGATATGTCTTAGGAAAAAATATAAATAAAATGTTTGACAAAGAACAGCTATTTGACTTTTTTAATCTTTGTTAGGAAAACAAGTCCAGTTTCTGGGGACCTTTTGTTAGGAACGAAGACAAGAAATACAATGTGAGTTTGAGGAACAATCCTCAGGCTGTTAACTAGAAAAGCCTCTGTAGGCTTCCCTAAGGACATCCAAGTGGAGGTATTGAGGGCATCTGGACAGACAAGTTTGGATCCAGAAGCAAGTTTTGAAATGGAGACAAAGATCTGCATGTCAGTTATCTGGGATTGTATGGGTGCTTGTCATAGCAATGGGATTTGGACTGAAACCAAAGGAGTATGTACAGAATGAAGAGAAAAGATAATGAAGGTCTTAATCTGGGTGCATGCCACCATTCCATATATGAGAAAAGGAAGAGGACCCTCAGGAAGAGCCTGAGAATTAGTGGTCAGAGAAGTAGGGGAAACCAAACAAACATTCAAGAAGGATGTGGCCACAGGGTCAAATGCTACAGAGAACGGAAAAAAGAGACATTTAAATAACCAATGTTATCAAACATCCTCTATGTGCTGCACACTGTTTCTAGATCTATAAATACAGCAGTGAAAATCATAAACAGACAAACTTTCTATTCTCAAGGAGCTTGTATTCTGAACACGTGAAGGGGAGATAGAAAACAGGTAGTGGATGATATGGTAGAGATAGTAAGTACCAAGAAGAAGGAAGAAAGAGCCTATGGGATAGAGAGATGGTGGGTGTTAATTTAGGTAAGTAGTGTCTTTTGGATGAAGTGATATATGAATAGAGACCTGAAGGAATAAGACAATTAGCCATGCAAATATCTAAAGGGCAAGAGCATTCCTAGCAGAAGCAACAACAGATGTAAATACCCTGGGTATGTGACATGCTCAAGAAACAGCAAAAATGCTGTCATGCCTGGAACAAAATGATTGAGATGAATGAATGTTAGGAGATGATATCAGAGAGGTAGTAGTGGGACCAGGTCACAAACTGCTCCTGGGGCATGATATAGCTTTTGTTTCTTAAGATGCTGAATTCATGAAGGGTTTTTAGCAAAGGTATACTGTGATACTATATAAGATTTAAAAGGATTTCTTTGGCTGGTGTGGTGAGAATAGATTGTAGGGTCAAGGGAGAAATAGGAAGACCAGTTTGAAATCTGTTGCAATAGTTCAGATAAGTGTTAATGATTGCTGGAAATAGTGAAGTAGCAGAAGAGTTGGTAAGAAGTTAGATATACTTTGAAGGCAGAGTCAATGGATAAACATGAGAGACAAGGCAATGGTGATCCAACATTTTATTTTGGGAGTAGGGTCAAGAATGCAGTTTAACTGAGATGCCTATTAAACATCTAGTGACAATGGTGAGAAAACTGATGTTTACATGAATTTGGAGAGTGAGGAAGCAATGAG